TGTCATCAGCATAGCTGTGGTAGGAGATTTGGTTCTTTCTCATTATTTGGCTTAGAGGGAGTATGTAAAGGTTGAACAGGAGAGGTGCCAGAATCGAGCCTTGTGGGACTCCACACGTCATGGGTGTCCACCTCGACCTATGGTCACCTATACTGACATGGTAACCTCTACCTTCTAGGTAAGATCTAAACCATTTGAGGACCGTGCCAGATAGTCCGACCCAGTTTTCCAGCCTATCCAGAAGTATGCTGTGATCGACAGTGTCAAATGCAGCACTGAGATCCAACAATACCAGCACTGTTATTTTACCTGAATCTGTATTTAGGCGTATATCATTGATTATCTTTATAAGAGCGCTCTCTGTACTGTGATGTGCTCTGAACCCCGATTGAAAATTGTCTAAACACCCCCTGAAGTTTAAGAACTTGTTGACCTGGTTAAAAACAACTTTTTCAATGATTTTGCCAATGAAAGGGAGATTTGAGATTGGCCTGTAATTGCTCAATAGGGTGTTATCCAGGTTGCTCTTCTTCAAGAGGGGTTTAACAACTGCAGTTTTAAGTGAGGTTGGAAAAATCCCTGATAGAAGTGAAGCATTTACCACTTTTAGAAGATCCATTTCTAAACATGTAAACACCGTTTTGAAGAATGATGTGGGGAGCGTGTCAAGACTGCAGGTTGATGTTTTCATAGCTTGCACAGTCTCTTCTAAGATTTTGCTGTTAATTGCCATGAAATCAGACATAGTGTCTGATTTCTTAAGTTGTGGTTGAGCTTGTTTGATATCGACACAACTTGGCTGATTGGATGAGCTGATTGCCTTTCTGATATTATTAATCTTATCAGTGAAGAAATGAGCAAACTCATTACATTTGCTTTCAGAGAGGAGCTCACTGGGAATCTGACTGGGGGGGTTTGTGAGTCTCTCTATCGTTGCAAAGAGTGTACGAGCATTATTTAAGTTGCTGTTTATAAGGCTTGAAAAGAAAGTCTGTCTAGCAGTGTTTAGTTCCATATTAAAGGCATGAAGACTGTCTTTATAGATGTTATAATGGACTACTAGTTTCGTTTTTCTCCACATACGCTCAGCTTTTCTGCACTGTCTTTTCATCATTTGTACTCTCGGTGACCTTGTCCAAGATCCCTTTTGCCTGCCAGTCATCTTCTTGACTTTAACAGGAGCGATGTCATTTATGACATTCTCAATTTTAGAATTGAACAAATCAAGGAGAGAATCAACAGAATCTGCAGATATACTTGGTGCTAGTGATATGGCCTTCATAAACTGCTCACTAGTGTTCTCATTTATGCATCTCTTTCTGACAGAGACAGATCTGTCTTTAATAGCTGGAGTGATCAATATATCAAAAAAGATACAGAAATGATCAGATAGTGCCACATCCTTAACAACAGTTGATGAAATGTGTAAACCCTTAGTTATAAGTAGATCAAGAGTGTGTCCACGATTTTGTGTGGGTCCTTGAACATGCTGAGTCAGATCAAAAGTGTTAAAAACAGTCATCAGTTCTTTTACAGCATTGATTTCTGGATTATCAATGTGAATATTAAAATCCCCAGCAATACTAAAATAATCAAATTCAGAGGTTACTATTGATAACAGCTCTGTAAAATCCTCAATAAAAGCTGGAGAATATTTTGGAGGTCTGTAGATAATGATTAGTAAGATGCGTGGAGCACCTTTTAGTGCTATACTCAGATATTCAAAAGACAGATAGTCACCAAATGACACTTGTTTACATTCATACACATCTTTAAACAGGGCAGCGATGCCTCCACCTCTCCTATTAGCTCTGCAAACACTCAAAAAGTCAAAGTTTAAAGGAGCTGCTTCATTCAGAACTGCTGCACTACAACTGTCATCTAGCCAAGTTTCAGTTAAAAGCATAAAATCAAGGCAATTTGTGTTGATAAAATCATTGACTAAAAGAGACTTATTGTTGAGCGATCTGATGTTTAAAAGCGCTAACTTAACAGTTTTAGCTGTTTTTTCTATAGTAGTCTCAGATCTACATTTAATAGACACCAGATTTGAATGATTTGCTAAACGGCCTGATGAAGTCTTTGGTTTTCTGTCACTTAACACAACACATATCTGCTTAGAGAAAGCTACAGACACACTGGGTTCCTGCTTGTTCTGAAAACATTTGATAAAGACACTGTTATCTAAGCAGGTCCCCGACACACATCACAGAGAGCTCTTGTGTTCACCAGCTGAAGATGGGGCGTTGTTGTTTGGGCCCTGGCGGTGTGATCTGAGGGCTCTTCCAGGTGGGCTCATAGGTGGTTGTGGAGCAGGCCGCTTTTTGGTTGGTAACTGGGGGCTTGCGGCAATGGAGTGTGAAAGTTTAGTTCCAGCATATACCAGTTCCTCCATCTTTTTTGAAAAACCCAAGAGTGGTGAACATTGTGACAATGAGAACGTGTCCGGTGACAGAGGCTGTGCATCTGGAGATTCTGTCTGCAGAAATATGTTTTCCTGAGGAAATATGTATATATGTATATGTATATATATATATATATAATATAGAAATATGTATATATATATATGTATGTATATATATATATATATATATATATATATATATATATATATATATATATATATATATATATATATATATATATATATATATATATATATATATATATTCAGTTGAAGTCGGAATTAGCCCCCTGTTCAATTTCCCCCCATTTTTTCTGTTTAACAGAGAGAAGATTGTTTCAGCACATTTCTAATCATAATAATTTTAATAACTCATCTCTAATAACTGATTTATTTTATCTTTGCCATGATGACAGTAAATAATATTTGACTAGATATTTTTCAAGATACTTTACAGCTTAGTGACATTTAAAGGCTTAACTAGGTTAATTAGGTTAACTAGTCAGGTTAGGGTAATTAGGCAATTCATTGTATAACCAGCCTGATCTCACGAGAAAACATAAATATTCAGTTCAGTCGTACGAAATTGTTCGATTTTCAAAAGGAGGCGTAGCACCTAACCCCACCCCTAAACCCAACCTTCATTGGTGGATGAGCAAATCATACTAAATTGTATGAATTAGATCGTACAAATTCATACGAATTAGCCACTAAATCAAAAAGTTACGAATTGCCGTGAGATTGTGTTGGTATAACAATGGTTTGTTTTGTAGTCTATCGAGAAAAAATTTGCTTAAGGGGGCTAATAATTTTGACCTTAAATTTACTTAAAAAAAATTTTAAACTGCTTTTACTCTAGCCGAAATAAAGCAAATAAGACTTTTTCTAGAAGAAAATATATTATCAGACATAATGTGAAAATTTCCTGAATCTGTTAAACGTTCGGATGATGTTCCCAATCCATTAACCTATATATATATATATATATATATATATATATATATATATATATATATATATATATATATATATATATATATATATATAATTATTAATTTATTAAATTACCAAAATTGATGACTTGCATTGCACATTTATATTTTTCTCTATTCTTAATATCTGTGCATAGCAGGTTTTATGTATGTATAGTAAACTAAACCACAGTATGTGATGACAGAGTTTGGATGACATTTCAGATATTTCGATTTCCATTTTTTGGATGACATTTCAGATATTGTGCTGGAAACGCTGCTTTGTCCATTAATGCATCCCATTGCACCCATATCCACATGATCTTTTTATCCACAAATCACTTTATTGGTGTGTGTGTGTGTGTGTGTGTGTGTGTGTGTGAGTGTGTGTGATGGAAGTTGTTTGATGAACATGTTTCTATATTAGTATGCATATTTTTCTTATCAGACAAAAAGTTTTTATGCACATTTTTTTAAAGCAAAGTTTGGCCTTTGCATAATGCAACTTCATGCGATATTCCAAATTGTGCATAAAAACACACTACCGGGCCAAAGTTCGGGGTCAGTGTGATTATTAAATGTTTTAAAATAAGTTTCTCCTGCTCACCAAAGCTGCGTTTATTTCAGCAAAAACACAGTACACATTGTTGAATTGTGAAATGTTGTTGCACTATAAAATAACTGTTCAAAATTAATTTATCATTTAATTTAACCATTTATTCCAGTGATTTTAAAGATTAATTTTCAGCTTCATTACTCCAGTCTTTAGTCACATGATCCTTCAGAAATCACTCTAATATTAATTATTTTTATTCATTCATTCATTTAATGGAAAATTCATTCATTCATTTGGGATCATCTCGTCGCTGGTCTTGGATCACATCAGTGGTGCTGCATAGTCTCTGAGGGCCTCAGGATGAGTATCCCCAGGTGGAAATAGAGAATAAAGAGAATAAGTAGCCGAGCTGCTATTCATAGTGTAGATTAACAAAATGCAAAAACCTGTGTGGAGCACATTCATGTAACATACCGCTAAGTGATGCACTGAGTGTATGCTTTGCTAAAAAGATTGGTCTTTATTCTAGTTTTGAACTAAAAGAGTGTGTCTGAGCCTAGGACATTATCAGGAAGGCTATTCCAGAGTTCAGGAGCCATAAATGAGAAGGCTCGACCTCCTTTACTCGACTTTACTATTCTAGGTACCACCAGAAGCCCTGAGTTTTGAGATCTTAAAGAGCGAGTTGGATTGTAGCGAGACAGAAGGTTGGTTAGATAAACAGGAGCTTGATTATTTAAAGATTTATAGGTAAGAAGTAATATTTTAAAATTCTACACAAAACTGAACAGGCAGCCGGTGTAAGGAAGATGAAATTGGGGGGATATGATCATATTTTTTAGACCTGGTAAGAACTCTGGCAGCTGCATTTCATACTAGAGAATGCTGGGCAGCCAGCAAACAGAGCATTACAGTAATCCAGCCTAGAGGTCATAAAAGCATGGACTAGCATTTCTGCATCTGAGATGGATAGCATAAGTCATAACTTAGCGATATTTCTCAGATAAAAGAAGGCAGTTTTTGTGACGTGGGATTTATGATTTTCAAAAGTAAAATTGCTGTCTATGACATCCAGATCTTTTTAGTAGAGCTAATGCTAACTTTGTATCCCTCTAATTGCACTAATTGAGTTGTGAGATCTGCTGTGTACAGGATTTAGGTCCAATAATTAAATCTTTCTCTTTTTTCCACAGGTTTCCATACTTGCCTCTTAGCGAAAAATGGCGTGGACGGTGCATCTCAGTAACCTGGTGTTGGGTGTGTACGGCTTCACGCTGGTCACAGGCCTTCCCGCAAACATCTTGGCTTTCTACACGTTCTTCCAGAAGGTTCGGCAGCGCTCCACCCCGATGGACGTGCTGCTACTCAGTTTGACCATCTCTGACCTGGTCTTCCTCTTCTTCCTGCCCTTCCGCATGGTGGAGGCGGCCAACATGAAGTGGACACTGCCATATTTCCTCTGCCCGCTGTCGGGTTTCATCTTCTACTCCACCATCTATAACAGCACCTTCCACTTGACGGCCATCAGTGTCGAGCGATACCTCGGTGTGGCCTTTCCTATTAAATACAAACTCAAACGCAACCCCAGAAATGCGTTGATCGCCAGTGTTGTGTTTTGGATCATGTCAATGGCGCACTGCAGTATCGTCTACATCATGCAATACCACAATCATTCCAACCCAAACTTCACCGATCCGTCAACGCGAGACACTTGCTATGAAGAATTCAGCCCTGAACAGCTGCAGATCCTCCTTCCGGTCCGACTAGAGCTGTTTGCAGTGCTTTTCTGCACGCCGTTCCTCATCTGCTGCTTCTGCTACATCAAATTCATCCACATCCTCTCCAATCTGCCCAGCATCAATGCTAAGAAGCGTTATAGAGCGATCGGGATGGCACTGGGCACACTTTTGGTCTTCATTATCTGTTTCATGCCCTACAACATCTCGCATGTGGTTGGATATGTCAACAGGCAGAGTCCAGACTGGAGGGTTTACGCTTTACTCACGAGCACATTTAACGCATGCCTGGATCCGTTCATCTTCTACTTCTCGTCTTCGGCGCTCAGAGGAACTTTCAAGAACGTCTTGGAGGAGGTGGCAAGGCGTCTGGTCCTTCCGTGTTGTCGCACGACTCTTTATTGCCCTTTGTTGAACTGTTCAAGTGCTGAGGAGAAAACGCAGAGCTCCACTGACAGCACGCTGTAGAAGCTGAGTGGATGCTTCATGATGAGACTGTGGTTTGTAGGAGACACCATATGGGCCAGTGTTTTTCAGTTTTCCTCTGACTGCAGTCGAGCGTTGTCAGCACATGCTTTTGAGTCCAAAGCAAATGAATGTAATTCTAATGCAACACTGCAGCAGCAGCTTAATGGACCTGAATAATGGACCACTATCAATATAGAGTGCAATAGAGCCGCCACACTTTTTTACCAGCGCTGGTTCTGAAAGTGTTTTTTCATAATTTTTTTTTCCCCTAAAACCCATATAGATCTTTGGCAATATGTTCAAAAAAAAAAAAAAAAAAATATATATATATATATATATATATAAATATATATATATATATGAGCAATATTACACTAGTAGCAGTGCAATATGGCTGAATATCGGCACAGGTGGGAGGCATGTCGCACTCAGGGGCACAACTGCACACTTACTGAAGGGTATGAGGGTTCAAGTTTTGCTCTCCCCCCAACCCCCTTAATCCAACTATATTTTCTAACAGGCAAGTGATTGACAGCACATTGAAATTAATATAAAAAAATGGAATTCACATACTTCCCAGTAAAGCTTTATGCGTCGTTAGCCGCCCTTATGCACCCTCTGAATCCATTCATTTACATCTACTGTACAGCTGACATCAGAACAGCAGCAACCATTGCTACTTTACCAACATCCCTTTAGAGCAGGGGTGCTCAAACTTTTCTTATGACAGGCCAAAAATCAAACTTCATTGAGGCTAGTAGGCTGAAATTATTTAATAATTTTTAAAAATAACTAGAAAACATTTCTTTTTATTAACTTATATATATATATATATATATATATATATATATATATATATTTTTTTTTTTTTTTTTTTTTTTACATTTTATTGTGAACTTATTACAGTAAAATAAAAACAAACGTGTCCATGTCTAATGCATTTAGTCCTTTATTTGTTGAGTGACAGTATTTACATTTTAAAAACTGAGATTCATTTACATTTAATTGAAACTTGTAATTTCAGTTTGCTTTTTTACAGCTCAGTAAAAAAACAAACATACAAAAAAAGGTTACGGTAAGTTAGAAATGACAATCTCTGTTAAAGGCATTCTCCCCAATCCTCTTCACCATTCTCAGGGGATGGTGAGCCAAATTAAAGGTTACAATGGGCCAACTTTGGCCCATGGACTCTACTTTGAGCATCTCTGCTTTAGATCTAGTCTTTAAATGATTCTCTAGCGTAATGTCTAAAGTGATGACAAAACAGGTCATTTTTGCTCACATTTTAAGATGAAATGCCATCAGTCCACAGAGATTTCCCATTATTTCTTTGTTGCAATCAGAATATCGCAATAATTAACCCAGAAAAACCTACAGCGAAGCAAACACTACCAGATTACTATGGTATAAATACAGCACTACAACATACAAAAGAGAGATATCGACTTAGAATGTCTCTTACCTGATTTATAATGATTTGATTAGCTGTAGTTTCAAACTCATGCTGACAAAAAGCAGAGTTTTTCTCCCTCTAGGGACTTATTATGCGGTCTCTGTCGCCATCCTGTGGCAGAACGTCAACAATCACTTTTTTTGGTCTCGCTGATGACCAGAAATAATAAATAGGCACTATCCCTATAAAAAAAACTGCATAGTTGCAATCTAAACAGCTAGTCTCGACTAAAAAGCCTCAAAAGTACATTATGTTGTCCAACAGCAGGAAAATTTGTCAAACTGTAGAGTGTGCTGTGCTTGTTGCTGTATGTGGGCGGAGTAATACACAAGGGTGAAGAGGCTGTTCCAGCGCTGTTATTTGCGGAATATCGCATGCTATCAGCCAATCAGATTCAAGAACCAGACACTGTTGTATATGTGTATACACACACACACACACACACACACACACACAAATATATATATAACACATTTCATATATGTGAAATCCAAATATAAACGTGTGTGTCGTATAAGTAATTTGCATATATTTTCATTTATCAGATTTCTATATGTAAATAGCTTTTCAAAATATAAATATAATTAATATTACACTGTATATAGGCTCCATTTAAACATGTTGACAGTAACACCAATTAGATATTTACTTTATTGGAGTGGGGGGGAGATAATAAGCTGTTGGTGCAGTTTAATCACCACAGCTCTCCAATTGTTTATGTAAGTATTATACTTTTTCATTACAAATGCAAACGTTAAACAACATCAGCTGAAATACTTGATTTCAGCAAAGCATTAATAACCTCTGAATTCACAGCAGGTCTGCCTTCAGAGGTTAAAAGCTATTATTAATAAATCCATGAAGGAAATAAATGGAGTTTTTACTTCTAGATCACAATGTTGCACTCTGTTGGCTTGATCTTATCTTTTGTATTATAATGTTTTCATTTAGCGCTCAATGTTACCTCAACTTAGGCTTTCTGGTAAAGCTAGTTGGGCCCTGCAGCGGTTATGTTTTTAATGCACTCTAATATTGTTCCTAACACTGTTATGCTAGATGTGATACAATCAAATTTGCCAAGACATGAGTTTCTGTGTCAATCAAATATCACAGCCAATCAGAAGACGGGGCGGGTGGGGCAAATACCATGCTCGCGATGGAAGAATACATGATCAAAATAAAGTCCATTTTAACACCAAGTACAATTATCAAGTGTCTGAAACAAATACAGAGGATGTCCTTATATTATTTTAATTTATTTGTAAGTGATGCTTTAATATATTTTTAAATGATACTCAAACTCACATTAGATGCTGTTTAATTGTAACAACCAGTACCTCATGAGTCGTGTAGTTATCAGTTTAGTTTGTATGTTATTCCAACCATCATGGGAAAAATATCTCTTATTTTACTTTATGTGTCGGGTCTGGTTGGGACAGACGGAAAATCCTCAGCTGTAGTTTTCCTTCAGGATCAGTTAGACTGTCATTATCAGGTAGAAATGCACCCTCAGGTAGTTTATGTAGTTTAGGTAGTTAACTCTTTTCTGTTAAAACAATAGGATGTTCTCTAAAAATGAATGTAAACATGCCAGAAAAACGGTGACTTTCTGTCTCTGTTAAATGTTAGTGTTGTCTAAAAAATGAATGTAAACATGTCAGAAAAACGTCTTCTTTTTGGCGTAACTTGTTTCTGTTAATTGTTAGCGCATCGTCTTAAAATGAATATAAACAGGGCTAAATGGTGTCTTTTTTGTACTTCGTCTAAAAAGTGCCAGCTTTTTGGTGTAACTTGTTTTTGTTAAATTGTATGCATGCTAGAAAATGTGAATTTTTTATTTCTGTTAATTGTAAGAGCTTCGTCTAAAAATTACTATAAACATGACTGAAAATGGCGATTTTTTTTTATGTAACTCTTTACTGTTAAATGTTTGTGTGTCGACTAAAAATAAATGTAAAAAACATGCCAGAAAATTGAAACTTTTTGTTTCTGTTAAATGTTTGTGCGTCGTCTAAAAATAAATGCAGAAAACATGCCAGAAAATTGTGACTTTTTGTTTCTGTTAATTGTTTGTGTCGTCTAAAATTAAATGTAGGAAACATGCCAGAAAATTGTGACTTTTTGTTTCTGTTAAATGTTTGTGCGTTGTCTAAAAATAAAAGCTGAAAACATGCCAGAAAATTGCGACTTTTTGTTTCTGTTAAATGTTTTTGCTTCGTCTAAAAATGAATTTAAAAATCCCAGCAGGCCCACAACATCATAAGATGTCAATCTTAGGTTAGATTTAGGTGGTGACGTCTGTGACCAAAATTCAATGTCTAGCCAGCGTGGACAATGTTATTTTGATATCTAATAACGACATCAAATTACAATGATACTTGGTTGATTTTAGGTTGTGTTGGAAAGTGAACAAAATCCAACATCTGATAGATGTAATAGTGAGAATGTCCACACAACGTCAAGGTGGAGCATGATTAGACGCTGATATTTGGTTGAATTGTGGTTCATTATAGGTTGGACATTGACGTCGGCCTGACGTTGGGTTCTGAGGCCAACCCGAATTTCATTTCCAAACAAAATCCAACGTCCCCTTGACGTTGGGGTATATTGGGATACAACGTCAATATGACATTATGTTGACGTCCTGTGCCTGCAGGGATCTTATTGTTTCTGTTAAAATCGTCTAAAAACGAATGTAAACATGCCAGAAAAATGGCGACTTTCTGTTTCCGTTAAAACATTTGTGAATCTTCTAAAAATCTATCAAATCTGAGCTTTGTTTTGTGTTTTCTATTGGATTCGAGTCAGGTGGTTGGCCGGGCTGTTCCACAGCTTGACTTTCTTTCCCTGAAAGCATTTGAGAGTTTCCTTGGCTGTGTTTTGGATCATTGTCTTGCTGAAATGTCCACCCTGGTTTCATCTTCATCCTCCTGATAATGTAGATGTTGGACCGAAGCAGCTTATATTTGTAAGGATGGAAATATCCCTCCATAATGTTAAACCCTGAGAACTGTTATGGAACTCCACACGAGACAAGACCCTGAGAATAGTCAGACACTAAAACAGTAAACTGTCTAATCTGAGAGGAAGATCAGCTACTGTAGGAAACCAGTTGTTCAGGTTGCTCGATCATGCATTCTGAGCCCCCCTCTTTGTCCAGCTTTTTACTGATTTACTGATGGTTATGCGGCTTCAACTTTTGCGCCCCCCCTTCGATCAAACTATATTTTATAACAGGCAAGTGATAAAATGTGGACAATATTTCCGTCAAAAAATTAAAGATATTTTTTCATAAAGATATCAATATGCTTCAAAAAATACAGTTTCACATTTCTGAACACAACTGAAATAGTATGAAGTAGTAAAAGGTATAATTACATTAAGCATGTTAAGTCGCAAAGAAATGCATCTCATACCAGCCCAAATTTCTTCTCAATTTAATTTTCCCTCACTAAAAGATTATAGCACCTTGACTAGCCTTGCTTTTGCTTTTTGTACTACATTTGTCAAAACAAAATGATAGACATGGGAGTCCTAAAGGGCAAAAGAACATTGTAATTACTTCTCACATGCAGACTGTGAGAAGTGTAAGGTATGTCTTTGCAAGAACAATTGACTGAAACTGCTAAAAGTGAAATAAAAAAGACTGTCAAATGTTTAGTGTGAAAAAAAACAGAAACAAACAGTGTGAAATGTTCTATTTAATTGAAATGTTATGACTTTGTTTGTAGCTAAAATTAAAATAGTTTTGAGCTAAGAAGTTACCAAAAGGCCTGATGAATTAATATGAAACATAATGAATTCATAAAAACATGTATATGGTAGGAAAAATGGGGGGAGGGGTGGAA